AAAAGTAAGCGGAGAGTGACGGGAAGCAATCAAATTTGTAGCGTATTTAAAATGTAGTTTTACGAGTCAAACTTGATCTCTATCTGTGTTTTCTTCACGGTCAACGCACAAGAGGAGACAAATGGAGATTTGATTGGATGGAGGTGGTGAGAATGATCTGAGCACTGTGGATTTGTGTACTGAGAATTCAAAAAAGGGAGAAAGTAGGAAACATCATGGCGGCCATGGAGGGGGAGTGGATTTAGCAGAAAAGGAACAAAACAAGTACAATGAATTCTTTCTTCTTCATCAATTAATTCAAATCTTCTCGAGTAAACCATTCAGCATGTTCTACTCTGCAGTCAACTCTTTGAACTGTAATAAATAAATTTTCTATTATAAGTAAAACTACCAACTGGTTTTTGCTCAATATCTCATCTGTCTGCTAAGCTTTTGAACTTTTTGCTTTGTTTAGTTTATTGATGCTAACTTTTATTTTGAATATATATAAGTTTTATTCCAAGAAAAAATGGAGTGAGCTGAAAAAGAATTGTAAACTTAGTTTATCTTTATACACAAAGACACGAATATCATATTCTATGGTATATAGTTATTGTATAATTGTATAATCCTACTAAAGAATTGGTGAGCTAAGTAGTTGGTTTTAAACTAAGTGATAAATGTCAAGAACTTATTGGATCATTTATCCTAAAAAACATGGAATCATAGGAAAAAAACTACCAAGTTGGGTTTGTCATATTGTGAGGAATTGTCTAGGAAGACAATGTAGAAGTGTGTGTTAATGGATAGCACTAATTGATGTAGTCAAGGAAATGAAAATGTAGCCGGCCAAAAATGCAAGACTACTAAATGAATATATTAATTCGAGTAAAGAATTTCACACTAGGATGCTTAAGATACAACAACTTTTGTCGAGTGATAACGACTAAAGGATGTGGCATTCGAACTGACTTCTAAATGATAATCACAAGGCGGAAAGCTCGACTTTCCTGCGTGCAAGGGCGGTACGCTACAAAGGTGCTGTCAGATGAAAACGAACCTGGATTGAAGCAAGTTATTCCTGTGTATTTGAATGCCTTCTGCTCGCTTTTGTCACCTAATACTATCTGTATGTAGATATCCAAACAGAGCATATATCATCACTTATGTTTAAAGTTTTATTAACGATTACAAAACACAGCTTTTCAAGCCAACAAGAAAAATTGTGGAATGCTTGTAACCATGGAAAATTGTGGTGAAATTCAACTTCAATTTTTAATTTCTGAAATATTCATTCAAAATATATTCATATTGAATTTGGTTATTCAAGTTCTTAGTATGCAGAATAAGATCGACAACATAATATAAATATAACATATTTTTTCTTGAATAAATTCATACATTCGTTAAGTAATACACATACAACTATCATAATATAATAAAAATAATATTAAAATAGAAATAAATATAGTAACATAACTCGACTTGACCCGTAATCTCTTATAAATTAATGTACCATCCATTCAGTCAAATAATAATTGGTTATATTAGAATATAAATTTTAACAAAATATTATTTTATAATTCTAATTTAATTTCATGGGTATAGAATATGTTTAAATCAATCACAATGTTAATCCTCTACTTTTAAAGTCCATAGATCATCCTGTCATCCCACCTCATGCATTTTCCCAACTACATAGACTTTTTGAGTTGCAATGTTAGTAGACTTGGGGAAAATAAGAGTGACGAGGAGATAGAGGAGTACCGTATTAGGGGTTGGATAGAGATGGAGAGAGTGGTCGTAATTCCAGATAATAGGTTGTACCATAAGAGGGAGAGGGCAGAGATGACTTTGATGAGTTAAGGTAGCAACAAGCTGCAACGGGAAGTCACAATCGATCAGTTTTATTATCCATGCACCAACGACGTTGAAATCAGTTGGCAAAGATTTAAAAAATCAGTAGTTACATGCTCGAAAGGATCTTCAGTTTCTTCTGTTGAAGGGGTTATCAAGCAGGAACGACGCATCCTATAAAGCAGATCCTGGCGAAAAAATACAATTTCTTGGGTGTAGAACTTGACTCTGCAATCAAACATGAAACACATAAAATGTAAATAGAAGAGCGCCTCAATTGCTAAATTTCAAGCTGCACTACTGTTCTCATAATTTTGGAACTTGGTTCTGCAATTAAATGCTCCACAGCTCAAAAGAAATGAACTTCAACAATACCACAATAAATCTTAGACAGTAGGATTAACTTTAGAACAGGAACGACGCAATTAAATGTTCCACAGTTCAAAAGAAATGAACTTCAACAATACCACAATTACTAGCTGAACACTCAGGAATTTTTTAGGTGCTTGTAATATAAAGATTCACCTGCAAGGATTACTTGAAAAAATGGCATTAGGAACAGTGTTGCTAAGCTCTTCAGTTAGATATTTTGGTAAGGCACACCTGGGTATAACTGTTGATGGACCTAAGTGAAAAAGCATGATACCCTTGGACAATGTTAACGCGTACAGAATATTGGAAAATGGAAAGCAAAGCAAAGCAAACAAAAAACAAAAACAGTTACAAGGTAAATACCTGCATCATCAGGACCTGGAATCAACAGAAATCGACTGTGCTCTTTTATTCTCGGATGGGCTTCAATCATTTTCCCTAGCTTGCCAAACTGCAATCTGCATGTCAAAAACCATTTCCATCAATTAGACAACTAAATTTGCTTGAGAGAAACAACGATGATAAAGGAAATAAGACTATCTATTCCAAATCCATTACCTAAGGCTTGAATAAGAATTAAAGGCTAGGTTACATGGGTGAGAACAAAAATTCCCCATGAAGACAAACAACGAAGGAACAACCTCCACGTTCTCAAAACCATCAAGGATTGTTGCCAGCTTCCCCATAACCTTTTCTAAGGACAAGATAGTTTTATGATTAAGCCAAGGAAAATCAGCACCTCAATTGACTCAAAAGTAAAAGAACCAAGATTATGAATCACCTCATCATTGTCCAACCAGATATCAGAGATAATAACAAACATGTCATTCACTGCTCTCCTTTCTAAATCTGCAAGTCTAAGCTATTTAATGTGTAAAGGGAGACTATCAAAGAACAAACTAAACATGCCATTTAATGTAGAATGGAAGGGGAGTATTAAGGATACTGTCTCTTCTTTTGTTAGTGCACCACCACCGAAGAAGTCCAGTCCAGCATGTGACTTGAGTGATTTATCTCTGTCCTCTAGGGGAGGAAAACCACATGTAATTACCTTAATAAGAAATATACAATCAGTATTTCAAGAAAAATCAACTTGATGAGCCCCCCGAAAATTACATACAAGGATATAGCATACTTGTTGAACACTCCTGAAGCTATATTTAAGGACATAGCAATTTTAATTTTCCACCACTTGAATATCCAGCCCATCAAAAATGTTTTGAAATATAGCCATGAAATATTGAGATCCACAAACTTTCATAGCAAGAAGAGTTTATATAAAGGAAAAGTGTCGCTGAAAAAAACAAAATCTGCAAATTGCTGCTTTAAGACAGAAATATAACATTTTTATTACCTGAAAAATGCCATCTGACTGCATTTCACCTTCTGCCACAACTATAGTATTCTCGGTGAATAATCCTGTTGTTATTTTGTACTGACAGTCAAGGAAAACAAGATTTTGTATCTTCATTTTTGTTTTGCCCCAAGGATAAAAATGAACTTCAGCAATTTACTAATCTATAAATAGCTAAGCCATTGTAGTTGGTAAACTTAGAGACAATCTGGTTTGTTTAAAATCTTGGATGTTTTGCAGCTCAAAGATCATATATATTTCAGCATTCCTTGCCTTTTAGGCAATAAAAAAACCAAAAATGGTTCAACATAAAAGACAAAAATGGAACTAGAAAAATTGAAGGCATTTCATGAAAGCTGAAGGCATTCACACAACTCCAACTGCATGAATGCTATAGGCCAAATGAAATCAATCAATTCAATTCAATTTTTATAGAGAGGCAACTTGGAAAACAAACCACCACCGCGAATACCAAAAGTTAAAAAAAAAAAAAAAAAAAAAAAAACAAGTATCATGTAAATAAACATGCCAGTAATCCAACTATTCTGCATTAAAACAAAGGTATGAGGAATTATACAGTCATATATCTGGAGTGCAAAACTGAGATACTAACATGTGCTTAAAATATATATATCCATACTGCATAGGCACAAGTGTATGTGAAAGTTCATACACCATATACATAGCTCAATACTCATGTTTCTGGATAGTAGGACATTAATTGGTGGGAAACACAAGTACAAAGAGTAAGCACATATGCTTATGTGCCACATAATAGCCAAAGCAACAATCTTTTTTGAGGAAACAAACAAACACATATTTATGTTTAGCTAAACTTAATATATAAGTTGCCAGGAAATTATGCAGAATCCCATTTTCTGATTATTCTGAAATAAAAACAAAAAATGGCACTGGTAAAGAAAATTGATGTACATTGTCACCCAGTGCATAAGGATATTGCTTTAGACAAATCGACTTCTACTGAAGCTGTAAGGTCTTCCAAGTAGAAGTGCCCATCTTCCAGCTGGGATATCAAGCCCATGACCCACCTTCTTCCTTTATGAATAACCAGAGATTGAATTGGTGATATCTACTTGACATTTGAAACAACAACAAGAACTCTTATTTTTCATAATTATGATGTGGATCCAAAGAAAAATCAGAATATTTTTCATGGTTCATCTCATTCTATTCAAGAAGAGAAAATCACCTCGCAGCTCCCAAAATGTGATAATTCAGTATCAAAAGCAGGTCTAGAAAAATGCTCATCACGAGAGACCCTCTGAAATAGCAAAAGAAACCTGTCCTTGTACACAGCTGCTTTTGAAGATGCCTCTCCATGAACAGGAAGCCTGCCTGTATATCTAGGACAAAAGAATGAAATAATCAACACGCAATTGCTTCCCAAGAGAAGGGAAGGGAACTCCTATCATAAGCCCAGAACTTCAGCCCTGTTTTGTAGTGATTGCTGAGAAATTGTTAGGCAAATTATTAATGAAGTGGTCAATGTGATGTCTTTCAGTGTGTCAATCCAATTAGACTTTTTTAAGGAACAGAATCCACAGAAGCTAGATCTCTCCTTGGTTATGCCTAAAATATGATCTTGTCTCCTTTTTGTGAAGGAAAATTAATTTACATTAAAAGGTCTACCCAAAGAGGCAAGCAACTACAATGATGTAAAGGTCAAAAAAAAAAAAACAAAAGCATAACAGCTGAAAAAGGGTCAACAATGCGGAACCAGAATAGCAAGAATAAACCAAAAACATAAGTAACTACAATCAGTAAAGTATCAATTAGACAATAATCAGAGCCTACTCAAAGGGGTCCATGTCTAACATCTGTAATGTGTATAAGAGGGAAGAGCCAGAAGAAGGACTGAACTTTTGTTCCATTCTTACCCGTCTGTCTATCTTTCCTGATTAGTGTACTAGACACTGCTAACTACAAAATGAAGACTGAAAATTTTAACTTTTGTCTAGTTTCATTACAAGCATCTTTAGTTTTGATCTTTTTTTCTCTAGTGTCAAGCATTGCTCAAGTGAGATTTGCTGGTTGTCCAATTTTCATCAAGTAAAACTTGTTACTTTACCAACATTCCAAATTCACTACCAATTTCCACAGGAATCATGTTGCGCCCTGAAAGGATATTCCTTTTACAGTCCAATTACTATCTAAGAGACCGAATGGAAAATACCATATAAAGCAAATTTTATTCGACCGAAACTGAAAAAATAAAGAGGATAACGTACTCATAAAACTGCTTCTTAACGAGATCATATCGAAATTTAGGCACCAAAAAGGCATCAGTTACGCGAATGGCCGAACGGGAAGAAGCAGGCCCAGGGCTTTCATCAACAGTGGCTCCATCAGCTTCTAGCAACAAGCTAACAACACGTTTGATGGGCTCCTTATCTATCACAGAAGATTTGACTGCAAATTTCCCAAAAAAGAGAAATAATCAGAGAAATTATAAACGTAGAAGAGCCGGCACAAACAGAGTACGATTTTGAAGGAGGAGAAAAATTGACTGACGAGTTTCGAGTTGGAGATTGTCGAGTAGGAGATCGATGGCCTCTTCCTCGGCGTCGGGGAACTGATTGACAAAAGAGAGTATCTCGTCGAGAGCGTCAACCTTGAGACTGTAACCTCTGATCTTGAACTTCTTCTGAATCTTCTTCCTGATTTGCCCACTCATCTTGCTCGTCACTCTGTCTAGCAACCAGGATTCGGACTTCGCTTAATTGAGTCTCAAGAAGCAATGGAGGTTTTGGCGGGAGTTTTAGCATTTCAGATTTGTGCAACGGCGGGAACAAGATAAAGTATACTCGCCCCAACCCTAATTTTTCTTCTTTAAATTTAATTTAATTATTTATTTAAATTTATATATTCCAATAATTATATATTTAACTAATATAATTCAATTGTTAAATAACTTAGTGTATTAAATTTTAAATTTATACATAATAAATATAAGTATAAATATTATTTAAATAAATAATTTATATTAGAAAATTTCTAATTATTTTTACTGAAATTTGTTTATATGATCTACTTTACAAATTTACAATATAATAAAATAAATATATTTTACATAATTATTTTAACTATATATTTTACTATACAAATTATAGGGCGTATAGAAAAGCTAATATACATACATATATACAAGTATATCACTATATATATATATATATATATACATGTCATTATCTTGCATTACCTCAACTCAAAATGAAACGATGTCGTTTTACTGGAGCTTTACGCGGGTCGCTTCTCATACTTGGAACCGGGTCAGAAACCCGACTGCAGACATTGATGTACGCCATATGCTTTGGCAAGAGGCTCGGTCTCTCCGACCTGAGTTTCGTAGTTTTATGGATTGCTGTTTGTATAAAGATTCAAGAAAAAAGATGGACAATGTCAGCAGCTTCTGATTCACCCATTTGCGTGTCAACGTTAATCGGGTACCCGATTATTGACTTCGAACCCGATTATATCAACCAGATTCTGTAAAACTAAAAAGTTTCCTCTGTATTAACAAACAAGAAAACAATCTCATCCTGTGTACATAAAAGGGTTGATGGTTTCTGATGTTGCAAGTAAATCTACATGCAACCCTAAGAGCAAATTTGGATGGTGGAGATTTATCGGCTTATTTACCACTGACTGGCTAAGATCTCGAGTAAATCTACTTGCAAATATTACAAGGTGACTAAACACTGATCCATGATCAGGCAAAGATGAAAGCAATTCTGGGTTAACTCCCTATTTCTTTTGCATTCAAGATCAAGAAGACAAAAACTGAAAAACCATTTGATCGGTGAAAAATGACGGAGATTTTAGTTCGGGATTTTGCGTCAATCAGCACCCCACGCATCGTCTCTCAATTTTTGTCTGGTTGTTATGCGATTTCGCCTTGCTTCTTCCTGGTTTTTAAACTCTTTTGACTCTGAGGTTGAGACAGGCAATTTCAATCCCATCCCTAGAGCAATCAACCTCTGTGCAGTTCTTGCTGATGTCTG